AATTCTTCCAAGAAAGACATGCCACTTAAAGGTCCAGTGTGTAACAGGAGTATCTATTGGCAGAAATTGAATATAATATTAATTAATATGTTTTCAGTAGTGTATAATCACCTGAAAATAAGAATCCTTGTATTTTCCTTACTTAGAATGAGCCATTTTTATCTACAGAGGGAGCGGGTCCTCTTCTAGGGAGGCCGCCATGTTAAACCGCCATGTTTCTGCAGTATCCGAGAATGGATAAACCAAACTGGCTCTAGATTTTTCACCAGTTTTGCGGTCACCGTAGTTTCTTCTACACGCTTGGAAGGCTGAGCTGTATTCAAATGGTACAGTCTGCAACTTCACTGCCAGATGTCACTGAATCCTACACAGTGGTCTTTTAATAAAAGGTACAGTGCATGTAACCTCTAAACAGGGAAAGAGAGACTTGTGGGCCTCCCCAGGTAGATTGAGCTCATTTGGGTGACAACTCCAGTTGTCCTAGATCTCCTTGGTGCTCAAGCTGAAACATTTTCAACGTGCATGGACATATCTTTGCACTGCCCAGAGCAAATTCCAGTCTTTAGATTATTCTTAGCTTTAATTTATAGTATATTTTTGAGTGGCAGACAAAAATGTGGAGAGAGAGGGGGGGCGCTTAAATTCCCCGGTGGGATTTAAACTATGAACAATGCCATTTCGGCACTAGCTCTTGGATTTGGTTTTCTTTTTCTCCTTTACCTTCAGTGTCCGCAACTCACCTGGCTTAGAGGCTTTTTTAGGTGATGGAAGGACAGTTACTTACAAATACAGAAACAAACCTCCACACACTCGCATCTGTGCTCTCTCTAACTAACTGCAATTACAGTGTGTGTGCAGTGTGTTTAAGTTATTTTATGTATTTTAAAACTTTAAATGTCATGTTGCCGTGATATACTGGATACGTAATGTACATTTGCTTAGTGGAATCTGTTGCACTGTACTCATGCATGGGAGTTTGTTTGTTGAGTAAGATTGGGAGGATGTCTTTATGAGCCACAGTAGTTTCTGTTTCAATGAGTTCAACTCAGGCCACAACTGTGCAGACCGTTACCATGTGTCTCAGCCCTCTGAAATCATCGCCCGGCCCTTCTGGATCTTTTCAGAACTCCGTTAGAGCAATGACTGAATGCCTCTTTGTATGTTGAGGACAAATTATATGTTTACATGTGTCTGTCCAATATTTCCGACATACATTCCACTCACCTGATGAGGCTAACAACTGAGAGAAGTTTTTCCTAGTGCTTTCTTCCGGCTCACTTTAATTGCACACTTGTATTCTCTGTTATGACTTGTCTCTCTAACAGATGCTTGTGTTGAATGACAAATCACCATGTGTAGCATCACACAGAAGTGTTGTTAGTGGCTTAGTAGTACACATATTACATAATTTAAAGGTACGTACTGTAAGTCTACAGTGACATTGCACGACTTTTAAAATGTAAATTTCAATTGTCATTGTCTATTTCTTGTGTCCATGTTTTAGGAAATTGCTGTTTTGAAGGATGTACGGGCCCTGCAGGTTATTCCCGGTGAGCTGGTGAAGCCCTTCAAATCCAACTTCCCCTCTCGTCTGGCTCAGAGTCGGGCCGAGCTGCTCGAGAAGCTACTTGCTGAACTGGGTACAGAGAACTCTGGCTTCACCCTGGACAATGTCATGAGGGTAAAGGATCATGCATGCATCATAATTTGAATTATTTTAAGTCTCTGATACGGAATCTGAGAGTGGCCGTGGTTCCAATGATCTTTTTCGACCAGCTGTTATTTTTCAAATCTTTTGGGATAATGAGAGAATTTCCATTATCCATTATCTCGAGAACAACACTTCAACCATAGCGTTCCTCGTCTTCCATACTTTTTGGATCACACTGTCTAAATTTGGTTTTGAAGCTTTTCCTCCAAGTCAGAAATATTATGGGGATGCCACTGTAGGTATCGAAGGTCAAAATCAGATCATCACAGATTTCTATACTAAAGATCAAGCTGTCAACAACTACTGAGTGTCAACTCCCCGGTCATATTCTCTCCAATCTGAAAATAGCAATTAGGACATATCCTGTTTAACATGATAGCACATGTTCTGTATAGAGATACATTCAGTATAATGCCTATATTATTCCACTTTAAAAATATGGCACCCATCACGATGATTTTCTGCATCATTTGACTTAGTAATTACAGTGAGACTAACTGAAAAGGGACCCATCCCTCCCTGGCTTTCTGTGGCCATTCAGTTCACCCACACAGGCGTTCAGTAAGCTCCAGTCAATTGAGTCAATGTTGTCACCATTGGCATCCACTTTACGTCTCCTGCACTGCTCTGGTTTCCAGCAGTGACCTAATATCTACGTGCAAACCATCCAACTGTTGACCCAGCCAGGCAGGGACAACAAGCCATCCTGTCCTCCCCTCTTTAGTTTATGACCGGTCCTCCACCCACCCCTCTCCACTCAGCCCTCCTCCTGACTTTAGACAGCTTTTATCAGTGAGAGCAAATTGTTAGGTTTGTCCTCTGAGTTTTTCTACCTTCTGAAACCAAAGCCACACAGGTGGCATTGGGTAGCCCGTGTTTGCATGTTTGTGCATGCTTGCTCAGCGTCTGTCCCCTTTGTGTTGGCTGCCTCCCATGTTTGCTAGGAAAACATTTCCAGTCTTGATTGAGATGTGCCAGGAGGGCTGTGCTTTATTCTACAGCTTGCCTTTCCTCCGGACTGTTAAATGAAACAGTTTGATGAGAAACATGTACGAGGCGGCAGGTTTAAAATTAGTTAGTTAGTTTTATGGAGGAATGGATTGTGAAATAAGTTGTTGATACACCTAGTAAGCCACTGTGCTAATCAGATTTGATTGTAGTTTGCCTACCAGCTTATAGCTAATACAATTTCTTGTAAACTTCCGGAACTTTGCATATCCTTAAGCCTTTATCAGCCACCAAACATCTGAAACAGAGGTGTAATAGCCATCTGCACTCTGGACAAATATTCCCTAGGTCCAAAACATGTTTTGGGTCCTTGATTTTTTCCACTGTGGATGTCTAATACCAGGCTAACAAAGACCTTGTTTGATACTATTACATGGCCACAAGCAATATATCTTTTAATTAAAAAGTACAGAAGGTTCAGGACAGCTACTTGATTCCTGTGAGAAAAAGGTGCCTATCAGGCAGTAGAGGGAGAAACATAAACTAAACGTAAGCACCAGCATGTGCCACTAAAGGTGTTGATGTAGGTTATAATAAATCTTTAGCATTAGATTTTATATTTAAAACTTCCTTTCCAAATACAAAAATAAATATGTAAGAAATAAATATACCTTTTATATGTTTATAGCTAATTATTATATATAATCTAAGTAATTTAATACACTAAAGAAATTTGATAACAAACATGAATCCTTAAAATTCACAGCTTAAACCAGTACTGCTATCAGCCTCTTTCAGCTCATGTGACCAGCCCTCTTGACAGCTCTACAGTGTTAGCCTGGCCATGGTTTGAACATTTTTCCTTTTTCCTCCGCTGTTACCTGGGTGATCTGCTCCGAGATGGGAGCCAGAGTAAAAAACTGGGGTGATTGAATTTCCTGTAAATAAGATGAGAAGTGGTCGGCAGAGAAAACAGAGCATAATGGCAAACTGTTTCTGAGCCTGATGATTGGGGGATGGACAGCAAGAAAGACAAGGCAATTTCTTTTTAAATCAAACACAGAGGCAATAAACATCCTTACACAAGGCCAAGAAAGGCATTAGAATAACATATAAAAACACAGTAAAGATGAAAAAAATTTGATTAAGTAATAGACAAAAAACGACCATACCCCATTTTTTCATTTTTTATTAGTTATCATGTAAAATTTAAAAAAAAATGTCCAGAGCTAAGTTGAAACTTGCCTAATTGCATATTTTGAACAGTGATATCAAGTCAATCTTGCTTAATGTTCACAATGTTAATAGAAAGCATTTTGTTGTCCTCTTTCAGTTCTGTGCAGCAGCATTGGAGCACAGTGCATCAGCGGTTCGAGAGCTGGCGGTGCGCATTATCTTATCCATGTACCAGCTGCACAGAGCTGCTGTTCTCAGCTACCTTCCACCCAACGATGCTACCACACGGAAAAACTTCCTCTACAAAACACTCTTTGATGGCTTTGCCAAGATTGACGGAAAGGAGACTCAGGCAAGAAGTGTTTCTTTGTTCTTCACTGCAAATGAATCTCTCATTGTTACTTAACATCTTCTTCACTTAAATAAAGAATATTAGAAAAAAATGAAAACTCCTTTTCCTTTGTAACATTTCCTAAAATGACACTTCTGACATTTATATGGGTGTCTGCATTCGCTGTGTTGAAATTACTGGCATCAGACTACTGGACAGAGGGTGTGTTCAAACTGTTCATTTATTTCAAACAGATTGTAGTCAGTGAGGAGCAGCTGGTGAATGGACAGTGAAACTGTCAGACATGGCAGATGGGAGCACTCTCTCAAGCTGACAAGAGTTGAGACTACATGACGTCATGTCTTTTTATTTTTTAGTAGAGTAACAAGACAGGAGGTGGGGTTTCATGTTGCAGAGGGAGCTAACTGGCTCCATTGTTTCTTTTGGCAAAGCCAGGATGGGCACTTTTGTCTGTGTTTTACCCATTTGGTTAAGAAACTGCGAGATTCATGCACGTATCTATCGATAATGTAGAACATTTTTTATTTTCTTTCAAATCCTTCATGTCAACTGAACTGTGTAAAACTGCACTAGCAACAAACATGACTGAATTTTTCTGTATGATCAACACAGAATGCTGTAAAGGATAACCTTGTTGTCGTGTACTAGTGTAACCACTAATGCAGCCAGTAAACAAGTCAGTTTGTGTTCCAAAGTTGGCAAGGTGCAATATCATTTTACCGTAAAGTTTGTGACTCACCCAGTGACCAAGCTTTATTTCTTACTGGCATTATAAGAAACCCAGCCTTCCAATGACATAATGGCCATGCTGCTGAGTAGAGCTCCACTGCTAAAATGTCTGATCATGCGCTCATCTGCGTGCGTCGTTGCCAAAACAACCACACCACGTTACTGCAGCCCTGAGAGTCTGCAGAGCTGTATGCCGTGCAACTTTAAAAAGGAGGAAATATTGAAATATAAGCTGGTGTGGTGAGCAAAAAAGATCTACAATGCTTAAATTCTGTTAACTGAAGACAGAGAGAGAGAAAATAGGAATGCAAACAGGAAAAGGAAAAACTGCTATGAAGCTGATGGCATGTCACTTTTCATCCAGACTTTGAAGAAGGGAGGCGGTCAGCAGGATGGGCAAAAGGAAAAGGAGGAGATCCATTCCCTTCAGGAGCAGCTGGCTGCCTTGAAAGAGATCACAGTAGGTGGAGCTGTCACCAGAGTCCAATTACATCACTTTTTGTAATGGCTACTAATTGTTGGTTATGACTCCACACAGTCTTTTAACTCTCTAGGAAGTCAGATAATAAAACTGGTACTTTAAATCTCCTTAATAGTCCTGGGAAGAGGAGTTCCACCATTTATCCAAAATTACCTGTATCTGAAGTCACTGTTTAATAACATCTCTCTTTGGTTTTCCTTCTGACATCTATTTACACTTCTCCGTTTGCTTGTGAAGGAGAGGGGGGATGAACGCTCCAAAGGACAAATGCTCAAGAAAGAAGCTCCCAAAGTTGAGAAAGAGTCCCAAAAAGCTGGCAAAGGTACATGTTTAAATAGAAAGAAGCAGACAAAAGCACCTCAGGTCCTACTCACACCAAATATATTTTTTAGAATATTATAACATCCTTGTACTGTACACCAGCAGGTCTGATATAGATTACTTTAAAGGAAGATTGCTTTATGGCACGATACACCAGTATGGTGCTGATATAGTCTTAAGAGATGCACTAGCACTGACGCTGTCATGCCTTCAAATGTGAGCTGTTCATATGCAAGTGGAAAATTTGAACATAGCTCCAAGGTCACGACTTGTGACATAAATGTGAGAGCTCATGGTAGTTTGTCACTTTTGTCCTCATTCTTTTTTTATGTCTTCAACATGACATCGAAATGCAAAAAAACTCTAAATCACTGACCATAAAAAAGCATCTACTTTGTTGTCAGTGTGGTGGTTGTGTTAGCATGTCAGTAACAGAAACAAGAGCTCCATTTGAAGGCAATATAACAATATCTAAGACATGACACTGGCCCCTACAGTCATTTCTACCATGAACCTATAGAAAGAAAGATCCGGCACATCAATAACCAAGTAACAGCAAACATGGCACCAAAATGTAAGGACATTATGCTGATTACAACTTGAATTTTGATTCCATCTTCCTAAATATTTAGATTTTTAGATAGTTTAGTCCAAGTGTGGCATAGGTATGCTCCATCTTTACATCATGTTAAAGTTTTGTATGGCCTTTTATTTCTGTCTGTTATAGAGTTCTGGATCTCAGTTGGTTGAGACTCAGAAATGTGGCCTCAAATGAGTGTAGCCATGCCAAGTAACACTGTCTTCTTAATTTCCAGCAGTCATAAAAGTGCCCCAGAACAAGGTAACCCACAATATTGATGTCCAGCAATCCATCAACTATCTGGACAAGTAAGTGACTCAAAACTCAGAATAATACTGGAATAATACAAAGGGTTAGTGTTTTCTGTGCAGTTTTCACACACTCAATAATTGTTTTGTGTATTATTTTTATGTGATTAGTGTCCCACTACTCAGGCCAATAGTTTAAAGGACTATAATCTGATCTGCAGCCTGATCTGATATTTCAGCCTGTGTATATTCTGCGGTAAAAAGGATGAGTCATTCACAGAGGATGGATTGGACCTTCACTACTGGAAACACTGTCCTATGCTGAAACGCTGCGATGAATGTAGACAGGTACACCGTTACATTGTCAAGACTGTTGGCATATTTTTAGTAAGACATCTTCACAGCTGTTTAATCACCTAATAAAGCAATGAAGCTCGAAGACTCTATGTTGTGTTCACAGGTAGTTGAGATAGCCAGCCTCATAGAGCACCTACTGGGTGAATGTGAAAGCAGGTCCAAGTTCAGCCAGTGTCCACGCTGCTCAGAGGCTGTGGCCACTGAAGATCTGACTCGACATGTCCAGGGTCCGGCCTGCAACCGTGAGTTCTCAGTCTCACTCTTGAATGCCATTGGAAAACGAATGAAAATGCTTTATGTGATGAAAATCATGCAATTTATTGGTATTTGATTATTTTTGGTCTTTGTTGGATGGTGACAGTGTAGACACAGACAGGAAAAATGGGGAGAGAGATAGGGGTATGACATGACATTGCACATGTGCAGTGACACCCAGGATGTATAAGTGACAGAAAACTGAACGTGTCATTTTCTATGTGAATTACAAATGACTTAACCAGAACTGCTAAATATGACCAAAAGGGTTAGGGTAAGTAAATAAAAGAAGATTCCACAAATGTTGCTTTACTGTTGCACCTTGCTGGGTGCAAAGGAGGAAATATCTGGTGCAGAGTAGTGCAGCTTTGTGAATATACATATTAACTACAATATCTGAAGGCAGCCTTAATGCAATGCAGTCACATTAACAGATACAGTTAAATGCTACTGTGATCATTTTTTGTTGTTTTGGCTCCAGCTTATTATATGTGAACTGGAACAAGAACTATGAGGTGAAAGTGTTGTAACTTGATAGTGTTTACATCATTCTTACAGACACTACCCCAATTTTATGGGACTGAATTTAATTGGATGAGTCAACATCATCTAGCATAAACATAATAAAGATAAAGCCAATCATATTGAATATTTGGTTGTAGGTATTTCACAGTAAATGACTGGGTGAAACTGTATCTTCCTTGGGGATGCTCTTTCAAGTCTGTACTGCAGCCAGCTGCACATCTTGCTTGTTACTGGGGTGTTTTGCCTTCAGTGTGGTCTGCTTTAAAAGAAACACAGTTCGACTGAGGTCAAGTCCTTGACTTGGCCATTCAAAAAGATTCCACTGTTTTGCCTAAAAAACGATTTGGTTACTTTGGCTGTATGACCGATGAGGGTTAAGATCCTTGTCCTGCTGTATTGTCCTTAAATTGGGGGATTACTCAAGGCCACGAATCCCATGAAGATTAGTGTAGTGACTACTCGTGGGGCTGGTCAATGAGCTAACTAATGAGCCTCCTCCATTTATCTACATCAGGACTGATTAGATTTTTTTTTTCCGTTTACCTCAGCGCTCTTATAAAGCACACATAAAACATAATATCCTCATTTAGATTAACCATTACATTTGTTCGCCACAGACACATTTCCTGAAACACTAATTCACCAACCTTGGGTAGATAAACATACTTCTGCTCATGTATTTTTCTTCCTGGTTTTTAACTTGATTCTCCACAGCCTGGACTTCATAGGTCGACACTGGTTAAGCACCCAGTGCAACTTTTAATGTATTATGCTCAGTGTATTGAGTAGTGACAGGTACAGTGCTTCTGTGGCCCCAGTAAAACCTTTAATAAAATAAAACCAATATGCTGTATGTTTCACGGAAGGAAATCACGTCAGTACTTTTCCATAGTGCTTGTGTATATTTTTGGTAAACTACCAAGCCCTCTTACCAGTATGCTGTCTGAAAGCTGAGGTCTGCTGTTCTTATAAGATCTTCTGTTTGTTTTTTGTCCAGTTGGATACCAGTATACTGTTACTGTAGGCACTAACCTAAACAAAGACTTACACTACATCTCTATCACCAGCCATATGTCTCCATACATAATTGACACCTGTGAGCTTTTTACCATATATTTCAAGTCTCCTACCCGCTACAGAAACTAGAATTATGAGTTTGGATGTATTGTGTTTACCTTAATGAGCCAATTCCTCAAAGGTGTATTATATTTAAAGCTGTTCTCTTTTGTTGTTGGGGGACTTTTTCTGTAATTGTGCAGGTGGCTTAATGGTGTCATGTTTCTATTTCAGCCCCCATATCGGGTAAAGGCTCCAACCACTGTCCTTTGTGTCACAACAACTTCATGCCTGGAGAAGAGGTGAGATTTTATATGCAAATTACACATAGAAGAGATTAAACTATACCAACTGTGTCGCTCACATTTCTCTGACAGTCTGACGTCTGAAGTGGAACATGTTTGTCTCTCCCGTCATTAGGTGGAAAATGTAGATTTTGAAGCAGAATTTGTGCATACCAGTTGTGGTATGCTACATTATGCTAATTGTTTCTTTCTTTCTTTCTTTCTCTAAATTAAAAAAGAAAAACAAGGTCACTTGTACAGAGCTGGCTCCTAGATAATAAAATACTCCACTTTAGGATAAGGAGAAAAAAAGAATAGCTGAATGTGGTAACTCTCGGTTCTATAAGGGTTTTCACAGAACTTGGACCTGAGCGTCACTCGCTGAGTGCTTTTCTATTTTCCCTCTTCTACATCAACACAGAAACTAAAAAGCTTCTAATATTAGGCTTAAAGAGCAAACAGGTGTTGAGGTAAAACCACACTATTGTTGGCTTCTGAAGACTTCAAAGGAGGTGAAGCCTTTGTTCTTAATGGGCTTCATTTGTCTCAAGATGAAGTGAATACCATCACATTCTTCACATTCCTACTAGTTTAAGGAGAGGTAAAGACAAAATGTCCCGATTAGCTGTAAAACATATATATATATATAGTATAATATATATTTTTGATATCTTTTTTTTATAGTTAGGGTGGTTTAGGGTTCTTTTGATACTAATACAAAAATTAATCATCACATGTTTGATCTGTAACAGGAAATTGGTTGGGGTTTAAGATAAACTGGTCATCTCATTTAAATATGAATTAATGGGTATGGGTAATTTAACAATTGGAGCATTTGCTAAATATAACCTCAGTGATCTCTCGTAAGTCAGCAGTGCTCATAATCAGCACCCTTGGAGCTGCTCATACATTACTAATCTTTAGTCCACTTTTGGTGTGATAGATAGAGAAGTTTAAAATGGACATGCAATGTACAAGATTCTCTGCCCAGCCACTAAAAGATGTAACAGTGTCGCCTTGCATTTGTCTTCCCTTACGTTTCTGTCATTGTGGAGTGTAATGAATCATGCAAGTCGTCTTTCAAGGAGCCACAAGAGCTACGAGAATCAGTCTGACCGGCTCCTTTCCTCGCACTGCCTGTTTCAGCTCGCAGCAATGAAACTCCCGGACAAAACTCGAATACAAGAACTCAGAATTTGATACTGTCGCTCCTGATTTCTGATTGGCTTATCCATATGGAACATGTAATCTATCTGATAGTTGAATGAAAGTGAAAAGTAGTAATGATAATAATAATAAGTCATTTTTTGTTACACCACTCTCTTTTGCCCACTTACACCAAACAGTTTATGACAATAATGTAATACTAGCAGTGGCAGCAGTTGGTTTGGAATAAATATAAATGGGCTAAAATAAACAAAACTCTAAGACGTAGAGGTCTACATCTATCAGTGATGTCTCAGCAGGTGCTTTCTTATCGCCAGCTGATGGAAAACACCTGTCGTTACATCACTGATTAGGGTGGGGCTAGATTACGCTAAAAGGTCTAAATCTGTAAAGAGCAGTGCAGCAGCATTTTCCCGCATTATTTAATTTAGTCTGCCTCTTTCACAGCAGACATTTTGACTCTAATATCATAAAAGATGGCTCTGTTCCATTTCCAATGTCAGCATGCCCAATACTGGAGCTGGCAAATGTAGTTGGAAAGATCCTTTCCCTCCTATGACGCAGTATTTGCTGTGAAAAATGCCTATTATCATTTGTTAGCGTGCTTATCAGAGTGGTAAGTCAACACTGTGGCTGGTCTTGGCAAAATACTTAATGATTATACAGCATGTTACGCATTACCTTTTAACCATTTTATTCCCTGCAAATCATTTAATGTCCAAATAATATGAGAGATCCTGAGATTATGCCCAAATGTGCAGTGAAACTCATTATTCAACCTTTAGTTGTAACTCATTTTTGTTCCCCTTCAAACTCAGAACATGCAGTCTCTCCACTCACACACACCCTTAAAAATTAATGAAGAAAAAACAAAATCTCACAGAAAGTCACACTCTGGCTGCCAGAGCTCTGAGCATAGACCCAGTGAAAGACTGCAGTGTTAGTTGGAGGGAGGGCAGCCGTACGGGCCCTGACTGGGCCTACAGTCACCCGTGGTTACCCTGATTGAGAGAGTACCTGGGAGAGGAACGGACTAACTGAGATACTTTGTCCCCGTTCCAGGCCTGGAAGGCTCACCTCATGGGCAGGGAGGGCTGTAAACAAAACTCACGCAGGACTGCGGTGTCCCAGAGAACCCAGCCGGCACAAGGTAAAGCATTCATACAACCTCTGCTTACACCTACCTCCCCAACGTTCACTGTGAGAGCTATACAAAGTGTCCATGCTTGTTGGTAAAAATTTCATGTTGCAGCTTTTCCACTACTGGTTTCCTGCCTCAGCAGAGAATGAGGCACATAAAAATAGTGACAGATTTAATTCGGAGCCTCGTGTAGTGGGCGTTTGTGTATCCATTTTGAGCGATATTTCGCAATCATGGTAGTGGTTGGAAGCAGATTGTTAAAGTCCAGGTGAAATGAAAATGTTTTACCCTTTAAGATTGCATCCTCAGATGAAGATTCATTAGTTAGCAAGCAAGCAAGCTAACAGGACGGCTCGCTACTGTACAAAAGCACAACTTTATCAGTGATTTGGTGAAACTGAATCATATTTTATGGAGAAAATATTATTATGTATCTTCCCTCTGACGTCCTCCCGCTGTTCTGTAAAGCTGTAGCTGCGGTTGGCGTGCAACCGAACGGTGCTCAGCAGCCTCCCTGTGAACACAACCTCGGAGACAGACAGAGGACAGTTTGACGACAGCGGTACTGAGGTGATTTACAGAGTTTCAGATGGACTTGGTGAACTGTCGCCAACAGTAATGTTAGATCCTGTTAGCTAGTTCACTTGTGCAGCTAACATTAGCTGCCAAAAGCCAAAACTGGCAAAAACACCCACCTCGGTACTGTATTTCCTGCTGTCAAACTGTCTTCTGTCGACATAGGACGCTGCATTCAGTCCCAGTCTGGATGTGCTGTTCACTGGTAGCTCCCAGTCCGGCAGAGTCAGTTAATGTGTCCCTCCCTTGCTGCCTGGATTTACAGGGAATAGGTAAATATGCAGAGGCAAATAGCTCTCTGATTTCTGTTTTATGTGGACTTTATAGTCACATCACATCACAAGAATCTTGTTTTTTGTACAGTTGAGTATCACATTACTTTAATAGAATCTTGATGCCAGAGTGACCACTGAGTTTGTTCAGCCCACTCACACTCGAGGACCACTACTGAATATATTAAAGTCATAATCCTTAAGGTTGTCATCATATTACACCACATTTGTGATACTGTTTATGGTTGGCATCAAGCAACAATTAATCAGTGTATTTGCACTCTGTAATTGTATCTAAACATAGCAGTTTTTATTGTTACTGGTAGAGTTGCGTGCCCATGTAGCTGAGGTTCACAGCATGCACGCACTTGGACACAATTCGGAAGACAAGAGTCAATGAACTGAGTATTATTGTTGCACAGCATTGTTGGCTGTCTCCTGTAGTCCTCTTTATTAAACCAACATGGTCCCATGAGGCCTCTCAGCCTATGGTTTGTTCATCTGCGCTGTGAACGGCTGTAAAACCGTCACTCTTCTTCTGTTGCATTTCTGAAGGAGTCACGGCTCAAGGCGTGTTTGATGCCCCCAGTGGTTGATGTGTGTCATTTTGAAATGAGCTCCGGAAGCTGTTATTAAAATGCAACAGCAGTTACCTCAAGTAACCACCAGGAATGAAATCTTAAGGATTATGACTTGAAACAAGTTTGCTTGCTTGCTGTTCTTCACTTCAGGGGTGCCACAAGGCGTCATTAGGACCCCACTGACATACAGACCCTGAAAACTTTACAAACAATTCAATCCATCTTGTGAGTGCTTTGCTACCTTACTACTCTGAAGGGAGCATCGGTCAACAATTAATGCTTCTCAGGGTTTTCCCCAGGAACTAGTTTACCAAAGGTGCTAAGCAACTGAAAACATCATGTATCTTGATTTACCTGGTTAAGAGATAACAGGCTTCTTGCTTTTAATTAAGTCAATAATCTGTGAACTATTTGACATTTTTCTAATTCCACTAATAGACTGACAGAACAGGTAGCTTGCTGTATATTGATAGTTAGCCCTGTGATGTGAGATCTCTCCCAGTGTGCCGCCACATCACCACGGCTGCTCACATTGTGAAACCTCCCTGTTTATACTAATATCACAGGTAATGCAGGCTACTTTGTTTAGTGCTAAATAATACACAAGGGTGCCACAAAAGTGCCCTCTGTTCTTACAAAGATTTACTGTAAGAATGTAATTTTGTGTGTGTGTGTGTTCGTGTGTGTGTGTCCAGGCAGGGCTGTCGGTGGAGCCAAGCTGAAGCAGTCCTGGTCGGTTGGGGCCAGAGCCAGACCCAGACCCATGGGCAGAGGCAGTCGGATCCCAGCCCTGGCACCTCTGGCCAAAGGACATACACCAGGGAAGCACTGAAACTGGTTCTAAGCACCCAGTGGATACCAAGAGGAGGAACCCAACAGCAACAAACATCCCTGTAGTAATTCCACCCCACGCCCATATGTCCCGCTCCCACGTTCCTGCATAACAGCACTTTCAAAGAACAGGTTTCAGATGTTTTCACTGAAGATTTTAAAGGCCAATACAGATTTTCGATTCAAGCCATATAAAAAAATGACTAAAATATAGCCGTCTGTACAAACTGACATTACAATGTGGTGTTGTATCCATTTATTGAGACACTGTATTTAATCTAATCACATTCTAGTCCTGTTATGGTCAGTGACAGACGGTCCACACAGAATAGACAGCTGGACCAATATTAGAGCTCGTGCCTCTTTTGTCTATATGTTAAATCTCTGCCGTCACACACCTGCTGGGCCAGTGAACATGAGCAGTGTCTGCTGTTTGTTGATAGCTCCTTACTTTACTCCTTCCAGGTTTAAGGCTCTAATTTTTCATATTGCTCACTGCCGTTTGGAGCCTCCGTGGTGGGGGATTGTACAGTTTTTAAAGGGTCCATTGATATAATATTGTTCTTCCGTCAAGTTTGAGTGACTCGAAAGAGACAGATTTTTAAAAGAACAGTCAAAATGGAGGCAGCACTGGAAGACATATCCTGGCTTTTAGTCGCTAATGTCATCTTCTTGTTAGACCCCGTGAGTCTGGTAAATACCCACATCTTATAGATTCAACACAGTCAGTGTGCAGTGCAGGCTTTCTGTCATAAATGATTGTTTCCGAGCCCAAGCTGAGGTAACCCTGATGACATCACTATGACATCTTCAGGGTTATTTTCTCAGACTTAAAAAAACCTCCTCCAGAGCCGCAGAAAACATTATACAACCGTTCTCACCGGTTAGTAAATGAACCTTTCTGTGAAAGATGTGTGAGGGTTCCCTTTAAAGCTGCACAAGCTCTCCAACGCTGCTATACATGTGAACATTGTATTAAAAGATGGTAATAATTGACAGTTATTCCATTAAAGAAAAGGCTTTCAGTATTGTGTTTCAAATCATCACAACCCTTCAGTAAAACCCAGGATATAGAGAAAACCCACGGATAATCAGTGTAGTATCATTAAATATGTAATCAATCACTACATCTCATCAGAGGACGATGACAAACAACACTCCTCGTAGGAGGCGTAATGGGAAGAGAGGAGAGGACGAAGGAGGTTTAGTTACAAGCAGAAGTCTTTTCCTCACTTGGCAACCCTCCAGCAGACGAAGCTTTAGTTCTAAATCCGTCGGCAACCTGAGTGTAGCTTCACTGTCAGCTTCACGCTTTGCTGTCTGTTTACATTATCATTTCTTGTCTTAAATAGATTATATAGAGGGGACGAAGTAGCACTTTGCCAAAGGGATGATGATGCTTTAGCACTGATAATCAGTATAGTATAGACATAATTTATTTTCCTGCTTATTGCCTACTGACAATCTTGAGTAGATAGCACAGTTTTATATGCTCTACTAGACTAGTGACAGAACGTACACCTTTTAACCCAACAGAACTATTCAAATAAAATGGAGATGAATGTACTGTATACGGTAGAATTTGTGTAGCGCCTGTTTTTCTTCAAGTCCACTTGATTTCTGCCGAATATAACTTTAACCCCAGCAAACACTTTGAAGCACTTCACATATTCTTTAAGAACTCTGTCAACAATTAGCCAGATTTATAGATAACGATATAATGTTGCTACTTCTGTTTGTACAACACAGTGTTATGACGATGCTGACTGTAATATATCTAATTCATCCGCAGCCAAGAACTGAAAGAACCTTAAAACTCTGTCCGGGGTGTTTTCAGATTGTTGAATTTTACAAATTGTAATATTAGCAGGGCAAATTCTTCATTAATGTGTATGATAACACTAACTGTTGTATTAGTGGAGAAGCAACATCAATATAGTTGGTATATAAGAGAGTATATTTGGTTTCTAATACGTCAAGTTGACTTTATTATGCTTCTGTATTGAGGACTATTGCAACAGTGGATATTTTATGGTGTTTTTTTATGTGCATAGTAGTCAGTATTTTCTGAGTAATAATAATTTTGGCATGAAATGGCTATTTTTTCTGTATTTGTTTAAATAAAGCTACATGAAGCTCAACATTGCAGGTGTGGTTTCACATGACAATCAAAGAGTTTTTCCAAACCTCCCCCAGTAATAAGTGTTCACACATCGATATGAATCATAATTCACGATCATAATTCTGTATTTACAAAGCCGACAGACTTTATTTACACTATCATACACAAATCTACAGTGTTACAGCCATTTAGTTTCTTTGGTTTCTGGCCTGCTTCTGGAAATTATACAGAAATGAATTAACACTTCAAAAATAAAAGGTGGAATAACATAATATATTAACTTACAAAAAAATCTAATCATTTGATTTGTACAATGTCAGTACCCTACAGAGTCATCACTCCACCATGAAGGCAGCTGTTTGTTTTGTGCTGAGAGTCCAACGTCGTTAACTTAAAATCAGAAATTGACAATAAAATCAGCAGTTTGAGAGGAACACCTGGATGCAACAAGTCAAGTCTTATTTATGCCTGCACAAACGCGCACTAAAACCATCACAGCCATGTATCTTACATCCACACTTGATCACAGATGAACATTGACGAACACCAAGCTGAAATGGCACCAAGAATCAGGAACCTACACACCTTCCTGGGACGCTGGCACAGTGTGGAGTTGTGTGGTAGTGGTTTCACAAAATGGAAAAAAAAAATCAAAGTATCAGGAGGACTAGTGGAGAGGAAACCCAACCTTTTTAATCTGACATATAGAAAAAGCTCAAATTAGTGAACATTGAAAAGTTGACTGAATAAAAACAGTTTGGATGAAAACATACATGTTTGTATCACAGCTGTTTGCTATGATAAATCAGCAAAGATCACGATCTACGATGGTCTTCTACGTATCCCGGCTGCCAGTTCGGCTTTAGGGGAATTGATTCACTGACAATCATATGGAGGTCTTTTGAGCGCATATCAGTTCTGCGTTGTGCACCACGCTCCACATCCTGAGCAGCTCCTGCGCGCTCAGCTTGTGCACCACGATCAGGTTTTTATAAAAGCAGGGCTCGCTGTTCATGGGGCTCACCCTGCGCCTGGCGATGCCGAAGGTCCTGAAGCCAGGGTGCAACTCAGGGGCCAAGTGCAGCTTCTGCAGGCACATCCCCAAAAACACGTCGTCAATCGGGTACAACTCCAGGTCCTCCGAGACCACGAAGAGCCTCCTGGCCAGCTGGGAGGACATCAGAAACCCCCCACCTCCCACATAAGGGGGATATGGCTTATCGTACAGCTCTTTGGGGATGTAGTATTTGCTCTGCCGGTTTCGGATCGGGATCGCCTTGGAGATGGTGTCCCCCACAAACAGGTCTGCTTCTTTGCGCTCCTCCACCTTGAAGCCGATGAGCTCCAGCAGGTTGCGCGTGTTCACAAACACATCGTCATCTCCTTTGAATATGAACTGCACCCCGGAGCAGTAGATGTCGAACCACTTGAGAAAGTTGACCTCCTTCAGGGTCAGGTTGAAGAAAGTGTCCATAAAGTCCCACTGGAGGATGTCCCCGTAGATCCGATCCTCGTACTCGATCAGTTTCTGGAGGTTCTTGGTGTCTTTGCCGGTTGTCGGGCTCCCCAAAAGAAATAAAGTTTTGATTTTCTTCCCATCCACCGTGTGCTCTTTGCCCCAGGTTTTGCGCACCGCCTCCCGCCGGTCGTGCTGCTCGATAACGGATTTGACCACCATGAGGAGGTGCACCTCTCCGTCCGCGCATTTCTCCGGGTGGTTGATGAGCATGGGGAAGTACCTGCAGTGTCTGTGCAGGACGAACTGGTGAAACCTCGGGTCCAAGCGTCGGAACCAGTCCTGGGTCCTCACCGACGCGTCCTCGCTGCAGTTGAGAACCTGTGCGTCCCAGGAAGCCGGGGTCACATTGGAGACCCGCTGCGCGTCCAAATCGTTGCTTGGCGCCGGAGACTCCGAGCTCCCCAAACTGTTTTTCACGATCCCCTTCTTGAATGAAAAACACTCAGAGCCGCACCAGCCGGTCTCCCTGGCGTGTTTAACCCCCACTCCGTCCTTCTCTGCCAGTTTCAGCTTGTGGATCATGAGGAAAGAGGCGAAGACTAGAGACAGACTCAGCAGGGGCTTCAGCAGACCGACCCGCTTCCTCCGGAAAAGGTGATCCATGGCTCTCACTGCGGCGCCCAGAGACCCTCACACGCTGTACCTTTTGCCTTCATAGTGTTTCACAACTGTGATGGAGTCCACCACCGCCGCCCCTGCTCTTTTGGACACCAGAGGTAGCGTCCTCTGCTACGTGAGTGCGCTGACATTGAAGTGGCCCCGGGGCCTCTTTTGCCCATGACGGCACTCAGGAGTCATGCGTCGCCTCTGGGTGCGGGGGAACGATGAAGGATACGGAGCATGTCCCCGGGCTTCCTCTCCTCCGTCCTCTGTGTCTACACAAACTGATTGGAGACCTGCTGCAGGAGACCTCTCTCTCCTTTTCCCAGAACCCCCCCCCTTCTAAATATCTCCTCCCACTAATGAGCCACACTGGTCTGGGATCAGCAGGTTTTCCGTTCCTCACACTCACAAAGGGACAGATGAATAGAACTTTTCTTTCTCTATACTTATAAAGATTATTTCAATCGTCGTCAGATGAATAAATCTGTCCGTACGCCTGAGTCTGATTTAGAAATGTCAATCATTGTGCAGCTGCATTTCCACTCACACTTATGGCCGTAGATACGCCCTCAATCATCCGTTTGCATGTCGACACTTGTGCCAGCTCCACTACTCATTCATCATTAGCACTCAATAGACCTGCCAATGAGAAAAAACTACAACTGATTGTGTTTATTCAGCGAGGTGGTCCAACGGAGCTGTCATTACGCGCGACCATTACGCACAGCTGGAGTTATTCATAGCGCCCATAGCAATAATCTGTCACATGTACCTGCAACCCATCAACCTGGGGAGGTCTCAGTCACCGTCACTGAACATCAGAGCAACGAGCAGTGATGGTTCTACAGAGCTCATACTAACAGACAAAGCAGCTCAGGGTTGAAGGAGAAGGGTGTTAATGATGTTTTCATTAACAGGGTTGACAGAAGGTGAGCAGAAATAATGCTAAAATGTGTCACTCATAAATCAGTTAACATTTTAAGATGATAAATGCGCCTCTGAGTAACATTTTTCTGAACGCTGTTTAGACTAACTACATAACAACCATAAACAATGATTTATTCTAGGGTGACAGCTCCCTTTTGTTTGCATGTCCACCTCATCATTTCAACCTCCACTTCTCTGAAGGATGTAATAGTTCTGTGGGAAAAGGCGAAGCTACGCACGGGTTTTGCGCGTACATCCTTTATACATCTGGCCCCATCAGGTAATAATCACAAACACAATACAACAGGGATTATTTGGAAATAATAAAAAAACATTTAACAATGACCTTTCTTAAACTTTAAAGATACTATAGATAAGCACAATAAAAGTTAGGCATACTCAATATAAAGTAAATAAAGCACTGGAAAACTTTAAACCAAAAGTTCCTTTTAATTACAAGTAAGACCATTTAAAAATAAGATGAATTAGTCTGTAAAATATTTGCTTTCACTGTCCCTTTAAGAAAAAAGAAAAAAATCTAACCAGTGTGGATAAAAGAACAAAACAGATGCACAGTTGTTTCAGAAATGGATTCACACAAGAAAATCAGTTTAAAACAAATGATTTAGCTGGTCGTTGGTAGTTGTTAAGTGGTCTAAATGTGACTTCTCTCACCTAATCTGTTAACAGGTACTTAAAGGGCAACTACAAACTTTTTCCAAGGTTCAACTATTCTTTCTCAGTATATTATTAGAAAAAAAACACAGCAGTTTTACATCAACAACATGGAAACTGAACATCACAAGTGTCCTTTATATCCCAAAGAAATGCCATCAAATGGCATTATTTTGGTGTTATTGGAATAGATATTAGTTATTGGAGTGGATATTAGTTATTGGAATTATTTTTTTTGATGTTACGCAACTACTCATGTGGTTTCTGTAAAATGGTCAGTACAACGCAGTTTTTAAAACCAATTCTCCAATAATAAGTCGTTATTATGTCATCAGACGTATTTACCACAGAGGGTGGATTTAGAAAGCCTCTAGCAGCCTCTTGTGGACATTCTCTGGAATTACACTTTGTTTCCACCCTGCCTGTCACCTCACATGACCCACTTAAACCAAAACCAACCAAAACCGACCCAAACCGACCCAAACCCAGCGCTGCAAACCGAGTCAACAGTCTCCTCACGTATGTCCACCGACACAAACACGGTTTATCGTGTACATATCATTACATGTAGCACAGAGGAGAAAGGAGGCCCACCTTATGATGAGCTAACAGTAACAGTACGAGTGTTGAGTGAGAGGGCGGAAAAGCGGAAGAGGGCGAGTTGGCCTTCAAAATAAAATCATGGAAAATCCTGTAAGGATGGATACCGCGGGTGTATTAAGTATTACAAATGTCAACATATTGAGTCAACGTGCTACAGTAAAAATATTCAAGCAGAAACTTTAGATATATAATACACAGACAGCTGGAGCAGACGGTAACAGTGCGGTGCAGACGAGGTCTTGATGGACGGAGACTCTCTGACCTCTGCGTGAACCTCAGCAACAGGAAATACGACGCCACATATCGTTTAATTACTGTGGTTAGTTAGTTTGTAGCTAGTCAAAGCCGACTGCTGTGAAAGCTAACAACCAACCAGAGAGTCTACACTTCAGGGTCGCTGAAATACAGAAGCATTACGCCGGCAAATGGTGCACAAGGTAAGGGTATAAGATATACTGTCACCGGCTGCTGTGCTAGTGAACGAGTTGCCGGCGGCAGCTTATAGCTCTCCAGCTAGCACTATTAGCTAAGTTGTAGCTGATATATCGAGGTCGATTATCAGACGCTGTTTTGAAAGCTCCTGTGAGATTTTAATATATCATATAAGACCCGGGTGTGTGTCATTGTAACCACAGACGACGCTGAAGTCGTTGTTGTGCCATGTGACTCATTTGTTTATGATGCATGACCTGAGTTATCGTGCGTCTCTCGCCATGATGTGTTGTTTACCGACTGTGCGACTGGAGTTTAACTGTGAAAAGCTCAGTTACTTTACTGGACAAATTAAATGAAACAGTTACAGTATGAACTGTATTGTACGAATTTAAATTCGGCGTGGTTTGGTCAGCACTAAATGTAACGTTAAATGAATAAAGTTCATTTATTGGAGGTTTTGAGTCGTCGTGTGACGTTACATTCAGGGTCACCGCGCTTCATGGAAAACATGGAAATTTAGAGAGTAGTTTTCCAGTCATGGAAACACCTGGACATTGATAAACATGACCAAATATCGTGTAAAAAATAAAAAATAAAATAAAATATGTTGTCCTGGAAAAATGATATGATATCTTAGCCCCTCACTCAGATGTCCTACATGCACAGCAATGTTAACTGTATTCATAATTCATCTCCTACAAAATAAAAGTGTTTGTTGCACGTAAAAATCTCAACGAACACATTTACTTTTCTACAAGTTACATTTTCTGTCAAATAAAATCAATTCTAATTGATTTGAGTTTTACTTATAAATGTCACGTGAGGAGAAAAACTTATAACTTCAACATGAAACAGCATATTATAAAGGGAGGAATACAACTGGACTTAAATGTGTCAACATTGTCTGCTGGTAATTTATATGGCAGTGTGAGAGCAAGAGCTGTTCTGTATTGTCAAAAGAAAACTCCTGGATAACGATTTCTTAAAAAGAGTGTCAACTCTGTAAATAGATGTCTTTTTGGGAGGAGTTTGGCCAGTGGAAGACACAGGAGTGTTGATGGGGCTCAGGGGACTGCACACAGCCTTGTGGGGTTTAAACAATGTAGAAACTTTACAGCAAATAGTGAAGCGTTTCTGTTTCCTCTTTAACATTGTGTTACATGAATCCAAAATGTCCTCTGTCACTCAAAATACCTGAGAGTGGAGGACACAAACATCGAGACATTGCCTGCTGAAAATACCCCACAGATTATCACAATCAATGTTGGACAAAAAAAAAGCATCCACATTTCTACACAGCCATAAATCTTTGTCTCAGAGGTACACAGAACATCTCAACATTGTAAACACGCTAGAAAACCGTCACACCCTGATGCTCTTAAATTGAGGTTTTAAACCTAGCTCGCATTAAAAAAGGCCCAATAAAATGAAGCTAAGCCACTCTTACAGGCCTGTGTTTTGGAAAGTTACCCAGCTTGTGATATTGTTGAAGCTAGAGAAGCTCAGTGAAAACATTTAGTCTACGCAGGAGCCCCGGAGCTGCTGGGATAATGACAGCTGCCTCCCTGCTGACTGAAACCATCATTAACACATCTCTATAACAGAACATTGCCTCACGGGATTGAACAAACCTCTTTCTGTTGCAGATGCCTGGTCAACTCGACAGCTTGAAGCCCAGAAAGAGGAAGATCAGCGCTGAGGTCAAAAGCTCCAGAAAGGTTTGTTAACCTGAATACAGGAGAGAACAGGTAACACTTCAACTGTATCATCCTAACCACGGTCTTTAACATTCTGTCACCAGGCGTCTGCGACAAGGAGGAGATGTATGAGAAGTCCCAAGAGGCACTCGGCAGCAGAGAGCAGTTCGGCGGTCGGCGGTCACAGTAAAGCAGACGGTCCCCTGGAGAGACTCTCTCGCATCAGCTGTGAATGCCACCAGTCCGCAGGCAGGAGGAGATGCTCGGCGTCACCAGAGCTCGAAGGACAGGAGGGCAAAGAGAACGAGCTGAGGACGGGGCTGGACATGGAGGGCCGCAGAGTGAACGGCACCTCGGACAAACAGGAGCCCGAGGACATGGAGTGTGAAGAAACCGACAAAAACCTCTTCCCAGATGACGACAGTAATCAGATTCTTCCCGTGGAGCAGTTCTTTGGAAACCTGGACACTGTGCAGGTGAAGCATTACGGCTACTGCGCGTGATTGATTAGCTCAGACGGTGTTATGGAGTGTGAAGTGTGTTATATCAGTGATATTTCTTAGGCTAAATTGGAGCAGTGAAGTGCACAGTTTGTGTTGTTTTGGTGAAGATGACGTCCACGATGAATGAATCACAACATCGACTTTTTTTTTTACTCTGCAGGACTTTCCGCAGAGGTCGTCGGCGACTTCTGCCCGTGGTCACAGGGAGAACAGGAGACGACATTACTACGCACGAGAGGACAGCGATGAAGAGGAGGCGGGCCTCAGCAGTATGCAGCACGACGGCAGAGGGGACGCTTAATGAGGAGTGACTGAACTAATAACCGTGGTGGACTCGAAGTTGGACTCAGCACTTAGGAAAAACGCATTTAATCAAGTTTAATCAGTCATAACGAATATACCACGTGTGGCGATGCTCATCAGTCACCGCCATGTGAGCGCGGTCAGCGGGAAGCTGAATCTGCAGCTGTCAGCCGGCCGTCGCTCACAGACAGGCCAACATTATGAGGGTGCATTTGCCTTAAACCTGCTTTCAGTACCCCGCCGTGTGCTGAAACTAAAAAAAAAAAACCTTAAGCATCACAGAAGTTGAACACAGGTATTTATGACTTTAACTGTTTGAAAGCAAGTTCTTAATTGCGAACTTGGAATTTATTGATTTTTAACTTGTTGAGGACCGTCCAAACGCACAAAAATGCCAAATTGTTTCCATCCCATAACATCTGACCTTATGCCTAAATATTAACCTTCACTTGATAACTAGCGTAGCTACATTATTGGGGTTCGTATAGCCACCTGTGATGAATACATACAGTTGCGCTTGTTTCGTTATTTATTGCTGAATTTCTGCTCACGCTACCCCTGGTTCAGCCGTGTTTTGTCTTATCTGGAGGGTGTGTTGGCACAGCACTTTATTCAGACAAATCAGTCCACATAACATTGTGCTTCTTCATTTGAGAGCAAGTTTGCAGCTTGAGATTAGCCACAGTGCTGGCGAACAGTGCTGGATTAAAATAACAAATCTACAAGTGACAAGTTATAAAATGTACAATGTAAAAGTCACATAAAAGCGGCATATTTATAGATATCATGTGCTGGCTTCAGACTATAAATGTGGTGAAGGAGGGTACACACGCCAAAGAGCAGTTTCATGATGAGAGCTTTTAATATACATATTCAGTGTTTAAGGATGAAAGAGCCATAGTTCACTAAGGCTGCGTTCACACTGCAAGCCTTAGTGCTCAATTCAGATTTTCTGTTCCGATTGGTTTTCTTCGGCAGCTGTCATTATTTTTTTAAATGTGGCCCAAATCAAATTCCAGTGTAAACAGGTCACAGTCCTGGATTGTCTCCAGTTACATAGAAGTCACATATACCCTGAAATAAGATTCCATGTGATTTGTGCTGTTCACACTGTCATGAAAAAATCTGATCTGAGTCACATCAAAGCAAAAAAGGCCACAGTGTGTGAACGCAGCCTAAGTGTCTGATATGCTCAGTTATTTTGGCAGCTGCTTAACATACAACACATCTGTATAAAAATCAATGCAGCTAATCACTTTCCCTGATCAGGATTGGTTCATATTTACAAACATGACACCATGTACAAAAGCTGTATTATAAATAATAACATTAAGGTTACTGATAAACTCTTAAACCTAGTAATTGCACTAGTGCTGTTCACATCTTGTAGTATTTTGTATATATTGATTGTTCTGACCACACAGTCAAATGTTTTATATATTTTTACTGCCTTATTTATGCAAAAATGCTTTTTCATATTCTCCTATGCAACTTTGGGACTGAGTGAATGCCTCAAGCAGTCATTGTAATCTATTCATGCTTTTTACATCATCGTGCCAACACAAAGAACAAATAAATGTTTTTCATGATTTCAAGGTTTGTTCCAGTGTTATTGCTTGCCCCTAACAAACAACTGCCAAAAAGTATAAAAGCTCTGGTTTAGAAATATCATAAGTACGTAAAAAAACAAGTGAGGTAAAAAGACAGTCACCTTGTTGTGGAAGTGCACCTGAGATAATGATTCACAGAACTGATCAGTATAATGCACCATTACCGTCACAGTTCATACAAATTAATACAAATTTTCATAAAAGTAAGAGTTAAAAATATTCACACCAAGCGCCTCTTCTTTGCTTTGGCCTGTTGTTTTCCTTTGTCTGTGTTACTGGCTTGTCTGAAAATCTTCTTGGTGTCACACAGCAGATTGTGAGCTCCTTTCTTGTGGCACACGATGTGAACCAGCTTCAGGTTTTCCCTGGTGAACAGCAGGCGGTAGAAGTAGTTCAGGTTGACGTCGGCGCTCTTGTGATTCTGCAGAGCTTCCACCAGAGCGGGAATGACCGACCTCTTCTTTTCAATCCTGCACACCAGGTTAAGAAGAAAAGTTTCAACGCGGCAGTGAAAAGGCTGTGTAGGGGTCATATAGCAGGTACAGACTGCATGTTAATAACGGGTAGAAGTGGGGTCAAAAGGCTGATGTCTTCAGTGTATTTAATTACCCCACCATGTGGCTGGTTTTTACAATGAAATGCTTTTTAACTCCGCTTAAGTGTCCAACCTGTGGTCTAGATTCCATGTGCTGAAGATGATCCTGCTCTCTCTGCTGCCGTACGGGTTGATGGAGTGGAAAGATTGGCACACTTCCTGGTCAAATGATCCCTGAGGAGGCAGCAGAGGAGAAGAGTTTAACTGTAAAAATGGTCAAAATCACACTGCAAAACATTTTGGGGGGGATTTTCAATGGGGCCCATAAGTAACACAACTGACCTCAGATGAGGTGTAGTGATTACAAAATGGTTGGAATTGGAGAGATTCATGCATTCTGGGGAATGCCAATCTGTGCGGAAGTCATGTAGTCTGCATTACATTTTCTTAACAATTCAGCTAATACCTGGCAGGTAAACCATCCTTCCCGAGTACAGAGGCGATCTGGCTCCTTTTCAGTCCTGTCAAAGTAGCAGCCGTTGTACTTGGCCGCCTTCAGCATCTCCACCAGGCACTTTGACGCCTTCAGAAACTCTGCCTTGACTTTGGCCTTCTGTATGCTTTTGGTGGCATCATCGACCTGCGGACACAGACAGGAAACCAAACCGTTAGGATGTGATACCAGACGGCTGAAGATTCACTCATAGAATCAGGAGTTCTACCTCTTTCACGTAGCCTCGTATCCTGCTTTCACAGTTGTACTTCATGTATGCAGCCTTTGTCTTGAACCGAGCATCGACACCTGAAACGAAACCCCACTTAACAACAAACTTAAAGTGTTTTTTTATGGACCACAGACACTTTTTTTATTTGTTCTTTCTGCTTTCATTTTGTACTAATTAGAAAAAATGTAAATCACTTCACGACCAATGTTACCGAACACAGAATGTCACTGTGGCAGCCCTGTGTTGCTGCCATGAACCAAGCAGCCCCACTGCGGATGGCCAGCAGAGTCTCCACTGGACTTTGTACCTTTGAACCAGTCTTCATCCTCCTCTCTGCTCTCCAGCTCGGATCTATCCTCCAGGTTCAGCAGCAGGTCAGTCAGGATTTTACGCCTCTTAGGAGACTCCTCATCAGACAGGAGCCCTTTTGCCGCTTCAATGAGGCCGTCGGAGTACCGGCCTGGGCTCAGTAACTGACCAATGTCACACACAACTGAAACCAGAAGCACAGGGTTTATAAGGGTCAGACAGCAACACTATGTGGCTCTAAACGGACAGTTTGTGTGGTCAGGACACACACACACACGTTCAGAGTTGAAGCATTTGTCTTGAATTGTGTCTGAGGTTGATTCACCTACCTCCGCTCCATGTCTGATCTCTGGCGAGAAGAACAAGTTCAGTGTTGTCCGGGAGAGTCTTGAAGAATTCCTGCGTCACTTTTGTCCCATCAGCATACAAACAAACATGTGCACCAGAAGGCGGCAACTGGAAATGAAGTACGACATAACATTATACACTTATAAGAATAATAATATAAGATGTTCACATTCTCTCTTTCTGTCCTCCCAAAGATGTTAATTTTATTTGAATTGTGTCGGACAAAGCCTATTTGGGTAGAATGTATTTATTTAAATGTACTTTTCACAACATTGAAAAGGGAATGCTCAGTAACACTTACTATCTCTCGCTCCTTGTGTTACACTATGACCTGTGATACCCATCCATGGACAAAAGAACAGGCTGCCCTGAAGTGGGGACAGGCTTGTGTTACTGTCAGCTATATTCCCATTAAAAGATATTTCACTGTTTTGACAGACTGTGCAGACAATGTGGAGACACAAGTGACACAGACTCCACTGATACTACACTGTAGTTCTGTAAACTCCTCTGACATTAAACGCTATCTCACATTGCAGACCTATCTCTGACCCAGTGTGTTCAGATTAAATGTATCTTGTGTCTCCAATATGTGTGTCTGCAGAGCTCCTGAGTAGAAATCCACTTTTGTTTTATCTCACACGCAGATAACTGTGTCAGGAACATGTTAGCATGTCTCTTGAGGCTCAAAGTCAACTGAACATAAACAGTTTGGAGATTCCCCGTATCTGTTTCTAGGTGAAGATGACCCTAAACGTGTCCGCAGCTCCCTGAAACAACAACCTGTGTAGCAGCTAACCACTGGGTTTCTGTCGTTTACCAACAGTGTTGACTTTTCTTTGTTTCTTTCTTTATTTCATACATATCCTCGGCTCGAAGAAGAGAAAGCGGAACCGGTAACTTGTTGAACCTGAACGCCAACCCGGGCTCACCTCACCTGTAATATCTTGCAGCCTTTTTCAAGCAGCTCCTTCACATCTTTTGCTGCGACTCCGTACTTTGTGTTCTGATCACAACTCCGGATTTTAACAGGTTTGTTTTTCCCGAGGAGTCCGAACATTGCACTGTTTTCTGTTTGTACCTACCGCTTCCGTCTTCTTCTTCCTCTGAGGCTGATACAGGCAGCGGTCGCCTGTTGCTGCCCTCTAGTGTTTCTCTTCCTCTATTGTCTTTGCTGGATAGGAAGCTTCTGAGTATGATGGAGGAAGTGTTCAGGTGTTTTACTTGAGTTAAAATAGCTATACCATTGAAAAGAAGATCCCCATTACTAGTCAAAGTTCTGCAATTAAGCCAATCTACTATAATATTGATACAACACTAGTATTATATTATATAGTAGCAGATGTAGCTGGTCAATGGGAAGCTGCCATTTTATATTATAGTGAAGAAAGTAGAAGTATAAATTATAAGGAAGTACAGGTACCTCACAATTGGCTCAGGTCCTTGAGTAAATGCAGATTGGTAACTGATGTTTACATTTAAGAAAGTGCTGAACTACATAAAAAGTCAAACATTGATGATGATAGAGGAAACTAAAGCAATAAAAAAAGTTGTGGCCTTCGTACTAATGTGCTCAACGTTTTAAATATACTATACTTAACCTCTTGGCTGTCTGAATGGCTTCTCCTGAATTATTTATAATGTCTATTAAGGAACATTGTACAGCATTACTTACATGGAAGTATCATCCTACCTTGGCTGTATCTGATATTTTTTGGGATATTGTCTCTAATAGGGATACAGTTGCAGCCAGGCCGGCCATGTCAAACAGCAAGTGATTGTCCCTTGTCCCAGACACACTGAAGCAAGCTGGTGAGGAAGGCCAGCTCAGTGGTGGGGATGGAGCTGGACAGTGTGGAGGCTGTGACTGAGAAGAGGATGAGAGGGAAGCTGAAAGCCATCATGGACAACCCCTGTCATCCTCTCTACACTGAGCTGAGGCAGCTCAGGAG